TAATAATAATAAGAGAGCTCCTCTTGCTAAAAAGATCCTTAACACAAAAGATCACTAAGCATTCTCCTTCATTAGAAAGCTTTATTTAAGTAATATTTGTAACCAGATTCCAATTCACAATACTCTGAAAGCAACACACAAGTCTCAGTGAAACCTCACTGCATTTCTTCTGTTATGATCAATGTCCTCATTAGTATTTATTCTCTGGGAGTAATGGGTTCTATTGCACTTGGGCCATGCCAAATAACACAGAGAAGAGAACAGAGAGAGTGGAAAAGCTATGAAAGTAAGTCAAAGAAGTTCAGAGTTGAAATATACTGAAGCAGGGGGACAGGGAGTGGCTGACTCACACACAAAATTGCATAAGCAAGATTTCAAAATTAATCCTGTGGAGACCTCAGCCCAGTATACAGTGTTCCTGGCTGGAAAAGAAGAACTGTAAATCTTTGATTTTTTTCTTCAACTCTTTACCATCACTTGCTGTTCTATCTCCGCCTTCTCTTTCTGCAGGAAACTTTATTTCCTACTTCTGCACACCAAGTTTCTACCTCCAGATCTGAGGTTTTTGTTGCTGAGAAGTCTGAGATACCAGTGCTACCAAGAAGAAGCCATCCCTGGTGAGTTGTGATTTTTCCATGACTTTATGAATGTTAAGCTCAAGCATCTCCAAGCTTGAGGTGCAGGGCACTAGAGAGACAGCCTGAGAGGTTGTACAGCCTGTGCCTGTGGAGACAGTGATCAAGATTCAGGTAGAGGAGAGGGTGTAATATGCATTAAGAAATGTTAGAAAGACCCTAGTGGCAGTCAGGAAATGAGGGTGTTGTTGGGTGGGACCATCCTTTGGGGATCAGGTGATTAAAAGGAGACAACTAAGGGAGGAAAAGTACTCTGCCTGGTCATCTTCTAGGCATCCACAGGTTTACTTAGCATGCAGAGGGCTTAAATTTCTAGAACTTTCTACCATGAAATCTTTCACTCTAGTATATATATGGGCTAGTCCAAGTCCAGAACCAAAATATTCCATTTAAATATACCTTTTGCTCTTCTCATGAGGGCCACACAAGCTGAAAAGACCCCCCCCCCCTTCTAAAAGGCAGCTTTCCTGCAGCCCTGGGTGTTAGGTTTTGATACCCAAAGTGATACACAGGCAATACCTTCCAGTCACTTTGTTGGCTCCTTGATATGTAGGGTTAGATGAATTGCCTAGTATTTTCCATAACAGCTGGAACTTCAGGAACTGACTAGGACTTAGTACAGTGTAATTATTCAGACACATACATTTTCATCTTGACTTTCATCAGAGATCTCATTTAGTTTTTGCAGTCTAGTGATATGGTTCAGTGATGTGAAATGCAAGCTTGTAAAATGTGACTATCATTGAAGAGATGGAAAAATGCTGTGCTATATAGGTGGATATAAATAACTTATGGTCAATATCAAGAAAAGGTATTCTTAACAATCAAGATCTAATGATGTTACATCGTATAATTTTATAATTATAAATATAGACTTGTGTGCACTCATTCAGTTAGCATTTACTGGTAACTTTTAGGCAGATGAAATTATAAAAGTGAGAGATTAAAAACACTGCCACTCCTTAACCTCAGAGAGGTGCATAGTATGCAAAAGATAACATGATAAGTGCTTACTTAGATTTCACAAGAGCAGAGTGATCTGTCAGAAGGTGCAGATTAGGCTTCACAAGAAAAGGGGAATTTGAGTAGGAGGTAGGATGAATAGGAGCCATTTTAGGCCAAGGGACATACACATAGTAAATCACCAAGGCATGAAGGAAATGGAGAGATGATGGTTGTAACTGTGCACAGGACTGGGAATGTGAGAAATGACTGGAGATGAAACTGAGAAGCAAGTTGCCCTAGTGAGTGGATCAACCACTATGAGGTCCCACCAAACTGAAATCATGTGGCTATTGGGGGTTTCAGGCTGAGGAATGCATATACAATGTTAACTGTTAGAGCAGACAGAATGAGAGGGATGAGCTCTATATAAGGAAATGTCAATGTGAAGTGAGTAGTGGATGAGACAAGAAACCAGCCGCTCATAGAGCCAGAAAGGATGAATTTGACAAGTATGTAGGGGTAGAACTCATATGATATAATACTAACACAGAACATTTATCTGTAACATATGCTGTGCTAAGTCCTCATCGCTGGTTCACAACAGCTTAGTTTCTATACAGGGAAACAGATACTTGACTTTAAATTACACAGCTTTTATGTTAGAGTCAGGATTTTTTTAATTTTTGAGTTGTTTTTTTTTAAAGTATGTGTGCGTCTGTGTTAGTGAATGCCATATGAATTTAGCTACCTGTAATGACCAGAGGAGGGCATTGGATCCATCATGGGTGCTAGGAACTGAACTTAAATCATCTGCAAGAACAACAGTAGGTACTCTTAATTGCTGAGTCATCTATCTAGTCATCTAACCTGGAGGCAGAATTTGAACCCAATCTATTTGGTTCTGAGGGACAACCCTTAATTATCTGAAGAGGAGTGATTTGGAATAATACCAGAGTTTATGTATTACACAATGTAATAGATGGTAATAACTAAGATCAAGACCTCATAATTTGGTCAGCAAGATAGTTCCTGTGTCAAAGTACTTGCTGTGCAAACCTAGCAACCTGAGTTCAAATCCCTGTAGCTTGTACAGGAGGGAAAGAACAGATTGCCCTCTGACCACCGAACATGTATAGCAGTATATGTGTATGTCTCTTCATGTATAAGTCATAGTAGATGCTAAATAAATATTGACTGTGTGGACAAATTCATGAAGAGATACCATCAAATAGTGAAAACATAAACTAAGGTTTTGGAGAAGGTGGGATTTGAACACAGAGCCTTGGAAAATAGGCATGCAGGAGAATCAGAATCCTAAGATTATATGACATAATTCAGCCAATCTGAATTAGAAGAATTTTGGAGCAAGAAACAAAAGGTAAAAGGGGGCAAAAGCCAAGTATAATGCCTGGGAATTTTTATGGAATGAGTAATGAGATGTCACAAGAAAAATATATAAGTATCTGTGAGTTCGAGGCCAGCCTGGACTACCAAGTGAGTTCCAGGAAAGGCGCAAAGCTACACAGAGAAACCCTGTCTCGAAAAACCAAAATATATATATATATATATATATATATATATATATGTAGTCAGGTAGGAATGTCCTCTTAGAAGCTAAAAAAGAAGTTTAAAAAAAGATTCATCTGTTTATTTATTTTGTGTAAATATGTGTGCCTACTTCAGTTTATGTGAATTAAGTGTGTACAGGTGGGCATGGAGGTCAGAAGGTTATAGATCCCCCAGAACTGGAATTACAGGTTTTTATGAGCTCCCTGTTGTGGGTGCAGGAAACCAACTTGGGTTCTCTGCAAGAGCAGTAAGTGCCTTTGACTGCTGAGTCATCTCTCCAGCCCCCTAAACAGGGTTTTGAATAGGGAAATTAATACTCAATGAGAATGAATTTGGAACAAAGTTAAAGCATTTACATTGGGTTGTCATTGAAACCTTGTCAAAAGAAGTGTGGGAGGATGGTGGAGGCAGGAGTTGAGAGGGTTATTAGAATGCTTTTGGATGCAAGGAATGGATGATGCAATTTACAATGGGTTATTTTCTTTCTCAAATAAGAAGTCAGAAAGTGAGCCCCCTTTGTGGTTTCTGTACAATGTCTAAGTCTTTTGTTTATAGTGCTAAGCACCAAGCTTATGCTAGGCAAGTTAAAATAAGAGAAGGGGCCAGCAGTGTTTCTTCTGTGTCTCGTCTCTTTTATTGGGGAAGAACCTCCATAGAAACCTCCTAATTACATCTTATCATTCAGTGATGTGTCATACTCCTGTTCACCACATGCAAAGGAGGTAACGAATCCAGACATGCACTGATGTAGTGGGTAGCCATTCCAGCTTTGATCTGGAAGTTCCAACCCCCATTGAGGCTTCGGTAACTGTCACGCCTACAAGGTGGGGCCAAGAGAGGACCCTGAAGACCTGAGATCCAGGTGGGCCAGCTCTCTTGGTTGCTGGACCCTGGATGCTGGAGGTAGACTGAGCAGAGTTCTCCAGACAACACCGCCAGACTGAGCCACACCTTTCCCAGACCCTGTAGCCTATCCCTTCACTTGTAAGTTACCCCACAAAATAAACCTCCCTTTTAACTATGTGGAGTGGCCTTAATAATTTCACCAATATCTGGCACCCAACATGGGGCAAATTTCAAAGGCCTGGGTGGTTCCCACCCTCAGCTTCTGAGCCCAGCTGGTGGGCACTTGAAGATGCAGGGTACCACCTGCAGAGTTCTGTAAAACCAGGAAAAACCTACACAGTTTCATTCCTGAAAAGGAGCTAATCCGGTCTCAGTTCTGTGGCAAGTTTAGTCCCCAGACCAATGAAACCTTTGTGAGTGAGGCGTTCCCCCTACTCCCTGAGTGCTGGCTCCCCGCCCTAGCCTGAGGCTTTCACAGTTTCTCCTAGTTAAAATAGACAGGGCACTGTCCCCAGCGCCACCCTACTCAGGCACAGAGAGGGCTTGGAGCTGTGCCTGCTGGCAGACCTGGAGCTCTGCAGGTGTTACCCTGTAGCTTCAAGTGCCCACCAGCCGGGGAGGAAGCCGAGCTACCCAGGCCTTTGAAATTTGCCCCATGTTGGGTGCCAGATATTGGTGAAATTATTAAGGCCACTCCACATAGTTAAAAAGGAGGTTTATTTTGTGGGGTAACTTACAAGTGAAGGGATAGGCTACAGGATCTGGGAAAGGTGTGGCTCAGTCTGGCAGTGTTGTCTGGAGAACTCTGCTCAGTCTACCTCCAGCATCCAGGGTCCAGCAACCAAGAGAGCTGGCCCATCTGGATCTCAGGTCTTCAGGATCCTCTCTTGGCCCCACCTTGTAGGCGTGACAGTTACCGAAGCCTCAATGGGGGTTGGAACTTCCAGATCAAAGCTGGAATGACTACCCACTACACACCATTTGTAGCCTTACGATGAGAAACATGCTCACCAGGGAATATCAAGGGTGTTAAGGAAATGGTTACCGAGTTGACAAAGTGTGTCTACTATGAGGAATAAAAGGAAAGTGATAAACACATGGTGTCAAGAAGACGACTATAAAAGAGAAACTGAAGACTGGGATGCTGCTTGAATCAGGCAAGGCTATTTGGATTAGGGAATTTGACATTTGTGTTATAGGTAATCATTTTGTTCTCTGTCCACAGAAGCAAGGGAAATGGAAGACAGTGATATGTTACCTCAGATCATCCATGGCATACTGTCAACATCTCATTCTCTGTTTACAAGAAGTATCCAAGAGCTTGATGAAGATGCCACCACACCTTACGACTATGATAATGGTGAACCTTGTCATAAATACAATGTGAAGCAAATTGGCGCCTGGATCCTGCCCCCACTCTACTCTCTGGTATTCATCTTTGGTTTTGTGGGTAACATGTTGGTCATTCTCATCCTGATAAGTTGCAAAAAGCTGAAGAGCATGACTGACATCTACTTGTTCAACCTGGCCATCTCTGACCTGCTCTTCCTGCTTACTCTCCCAGTCTGGGCTCACTATGCTGCAAATGAGTGGGTCTTTGGAGATATAATGTGTAAGTTATTCACAGGGCTCTATCACATTGGCTATTTTGGTGGAATCTTCTTCATTATCCTCCTGACGATTGATAGGTACTTGGCTATTGTCCATGCTGTGTTTGCTCTAAAAGCCAGGACAGTCACCTTTGGGGTGATGACAAGTGGAGTCACTTGGGTGGTGGCAGTGTTTGCCTCTCTCCCAGGAATTATATTTACTAAATTCAAAGAAGAATATTATCATCACACCTGTGGTCCTTATTTTCCATTAATATGGAAGAATTTCCATGCAATAATGAGGAATATCTTGAGCCTTGTTTTGCCCCTGCTTGTCATGATCATCTGCTACTCAGGAATCCTCCACACCCTGTTTCGCTGTAGGAATGAGAAGAAGAGGCACAGGGCTGTGAGGCTTATCTTTGCCATCATGATTGTCTACTTTATCTTCTGGACTCCCTACAACATTGTTCTCTTCCTGAACACCTTCCAGGAATTCTTAGGACTGAGTAACTGTGTGGTTGCCAATCACTTAGACCAGGCCATGCAGGTGACAGAGACTCTTGGAATGACACACTGCTGCATCAACCCCGTCATTTATGCCTTTGTTGGGGAGAAGTTCCGAAGGTATCTCTCTATATTCTTCAGAAAGCACATCGCTAAACGTCTCTGCAAACAGTGCCCAGTTTTCTACAGAGAGACAGCGGATCGAGTGAGCTCAACATTCACCCCTTCCACTGGGGAGCAAGAAGTTTCAGTTGGGTTGTAAAGCAAGTGGCAGTTTGTATTTTTTGGCAGGTACCAGGAGCAGTTTGTATATGGTAACAAGCTTCAAAGACAATGAATCTCACCTTTGGGTCTCGACCCCTTGGGGACTGAATGACACTTTCACAGGGATTGTCTAAGACCATCAGAAAACACAGATATTTACATTACAATTCGTAACAGTAGCAAAATTACAGTTATGAAGTAGCAACAAAAATATTTTTATAGTTGGGAGTCACCATAACATGAGGGACTGTGTTAAAGGGTCATAGCATTAGGAATGTTGAGAACCACTACTCAAAGATATATTGAAGAATAGAGACCTTTAAATCATGTATCCAGGAACCTTAGGATTATGCCAAGACAGAACTACATCACTTCTTGTATATATAACACATGTTCGGGCAACATTCTAGAATAAATGTTGATAGAATCTTCAGCTTTGCAGTGAACTCATCTCTGTCTCTAGGAAGAGCCTCATTGCCTTGTGTTAATACTATTTTGCCAATCTTCACTATGTTTCCCCTTATTTCTAACAAGATAGGCATGGAATGAACAGGAAGGAGGTTGTAAGGGCATCAGAACTGAGTGAGAAGGAAGAAGAGATAAACATTGTTGATCCTGGATGAAGATAAGATGAGCAGGGGTCTTTTTCACTTGGAAAGAAATGTCCTGGTCTTTAGCTCCATCTCCCATCTGTATTTAATTATGAAGGCTTGCTTTATCAGGTTGTGGAAAATCTGGGAACTGTAATAACTAGTTGGGAACTTTATTTGAGCCCCATGATCCTTTTATACATAACTGCATAGCACATTTTTGCTTTGTTATTTTTATATATGACAAAATGGAAAATCTTCAATATCACACTCCATTGCTTACATGTTTTTCAAGCCACATCTCCTCACATGGTATTTATAAAATTATTGTTTATAAAATATGCATCATTAGTGGTTAGCCTAAAAATAATAAAGGCTCTTTTTTGATCTTTCCAGAAAGAGCAAAGACTTGAGGTAGTGAGTGACCAAGAATGGGAAGAAAAGCCAATCCCTCCATCAGGCATAGAGAGCTGAAGCAAAAAGACAGGGGATATGTGGAACAATACCACAATAGCAGGGATGTGTGTTTGGAACCACATAGAATCAGAGGCAAAATGGATGCCTCAGCACTGAGGAAAGGGTGCTATCTGGGTGTGAATTGGTTTTATTTCATTGCTGCTATTTCCTGCTGCTCCACTACTTTTGCACCTGCCTCTTTCCCGTTGGTCTTTATTTCTTAACTGCCATACTTCAAACATCAGTGGGCCTGAGGGAAGTATGTATGAAACAGCCAAATATGAAACCCTAGATAGTCCCAGAAGAGAAAATGCACTGGGTATGTTTTTGTGGGCAAAGAAAGGGATGGATGCGGCAGGGACAGAAGCTCTTGCTTTGGAAATTATACTCCTAACCTAAGAACATATCTTAATTACCAGGCAGGGTAAGCCTGGATAAAAAAGATTGCCGATGGAGTGGGAGGAAGTGTGTCACAGACTATCTTTCAGTGCCTTATTTTTGGATACAAACATAATTCAAAGATTTCAAAAAATCAAAAGTAGAAAAAATAAAAATCAAGACTGGAAACTTTAACTTTTAAATGTGATGAAATACCTCTATAAGAGGTTTTACCTTGCCAAACTTGAATGTGTTACATTAGTTATAGAGAAAATTCTGGCTTTAAGCATCTGAACTGACATAGACAACTCTGGATTGACAGGGCCTTAGATTTGTGATCTGTGGACTTACCCAACTATGGTGATACAGAGTCTAAGCCATCTTGAGCCCAGCACATGCTACACAGATGTCATGTCAGCAGTGTACTTGTTCTCTCAGCCTTGTTTTCCCCAAACTCCTTTTTATCATTCTTCCTAGATGTGCCACTGGTGATAGATTGTCCTTTGGGTGAGTGGGGATCCTTAAATCAAGCCAGCTTCTAACCAAAGCTTTAACAATTTAATTTACAAAGAAGAGGACTTAGACAAATTCCTTCTCATAAGAAAAATATCTCTCCTGAATTGAACCAAGAATGTTCTTCCCTATCCCATAGTATGTTTCTCATCTGACGAAGCAACAAACAAAGGAACAGACAGCCTGGGAACTGGAAGTCTTTGTGGTTTGGCTTTGCTACCACATGATGAGAAAAAGTTTCTGGAAGAAGTGAGGGATAAGAGTATCACCTTCAGATATCCTAATAGTTTTATTTTAATGATGATGAGATGTAAATATTTTTTAAAAACCTATGATTTGAGAAATAAATCAGTGCTCTATCTATATTGCTAGAAATATTAAAAAGAAACAAGCATATGTTTTGTTATACCAATGTGGTTGATTATTTTGTTCACAACTACACACATCTTCCCCTGTACTACTTCGCAATTCCACATACCTGGTACCTGCTGGAGAGGTGTGACTTACAGCCTGCCTTCCAGGCTATACACCCTTCTGCAGTTATTCTGCTAAAAGACAAACACAGAGAACTCTGCCTTTTCCAATTATAGCTTCAGCATGGCTGGCGTGAGCCTCTTTTCAGCAAACTAAAGCCATGCATCTTGGTGAGTGAGAAAATAAGAGAAATGAAGCTAGGACCACAGCATGAAGAAGAGGAGCAAAAATCCATGTCCACTATGATAAGCCAAGGGGATTATTTGTTAAGACAATGCTAACTAATACAGATGGGAGATAATGTTTATAAAAAAATGTTTTTCTACTGTGGGATGCAGTGTGAAAAACAGCCTGAGTGTCTACAGATTGGATGGGCAAGGTAAAAATGGATGTCACTGTCATGGCCTTCATGTCCTTTAGACCTTGCAGTCCAGGGCCCTGGAGAGTGGTATGGGTGCAGAGGGCTCAGATAGGATCACATGAACAAAGGGGAAGAAGAATATGTAAGACTTTTTTGAGAATCCAGAGGGTGGGGGACTAACTCAATGATGGTCATGCAGCACAGTATGAACATCTACAGTAGGATTTTGTTGCCACAGAAGAAATTGCCTTGTAGGAATTGTCTGTTATGTGTTTCCATAAGTGAGCTCTAAATTCATCTGGGGAGAACCTTTGAGTGGACAGTTGGAGGAAAGTAGGAATGAGGGGAAGAAAGGCCACCATACCAAGGGATGGGTGTTTGGACAGTTTTGGTGGAATAGTGGGCTTGACACTGTTCCTAAATGGCCTTTGGTCTGTGCTGTCAAAACAGCTGGGGAGGCTGAGTATGTGCAGAGGACCCTGCAGCTGCCTGAAAGGACTCCAGTAAAACCTATCCATCTGCTTTTACTCATTGTTTAGACTTCTCTGACCAATGAAATTACATCAAATGAGAATATCCAGCAAAGTTGACTACCCAGGTATCTCTACAGAAACACATCATGAGAGAAAAGGAGTCTGGGCTGAGTGCTCCTGCAAGGCATCTCAGGAATGGGGTGGGAAAAGAACAGGCATAGGTTTAGGGAGTGACCAATAGAGGCTAGAATTTGTTAAAATATGGATACTTAGGCATTTTGTCTTAGTCACTGTTCTATTGCTGTAAAGACACACTATGACCATGGCAACTCTTATAAAGGAAAGCATTTAATTGGGGTTTGCTTACAGTTTCAGAGGTTTAGTCCATTGTCATCAGGGTGGGGAACATGGTGACATACAGGAATAGTGCTGAAGAAGTTGCTGAGAGTTCTACATCCAGATCCACAGGCAGCAGGAAGAACAAGACACTGGACCTGACTTGGGCCATTGAAACCTCAAAGCCCACCCCTAGTGACACACTTCCTCCAACAAGGCCACAGCTACTCCAATAATGTCATACCTCCTAATCCTTTCAAATAGTGCCATACCCCGGTGACCAAGCATTCAAATATATGAGTCTATAGGAAGCCATTCTTATTCAAACCACCACACATATTATCTGTAACTTTGAGAAGCTTCTGGTATGGTGTGATATGTGGTGAATGTGTATGGGAGGCAGGGGAGAGGGTATATAAATCAAGACTTATATCCCTGCTGGCCCCAGCATAAAGCTTGTGCCATATCAGCTCAGCAATTCATAAGCAAAGGTCAGGGAACTGAATAAAGTTTTGGTTCATTGACTATTAAACCTCCTAATGCAATCTATTTGCAATATGAAATTATTTTCTTTCTCCTGAATAAAGTTCAATTGGTTCTTAGAGTCAATTGGATTCGGAAAGGCTGTGCCTAAAGTAGGTATGAGTTCTGCCTTTTCTGTCCCAACTCCACCCCTACCCTCAGCCCTGGTTTGTGGTCTGCCTCAAGATGACCTCTAGTGCCTCTCCTTTCCAGGCATAGCTAGCCATGAGGAAAGTGGATATGACCAGGAGAAGGGCACATATTTCTTTACATAGCTGGTCCCTGCCACAGGCCCCTCTGTGTTGACAAAAATGCCAAGAAAGATGAACACTGATGTGTTTTTCCTTCAGAGGACCCAGAGCTAGTAAGGATACCCATGACCACCTATTAGATATTAGATAAGTAAAATCTCCTTCAACTGGGCTTTTTCCAATCCACCATTTCTTGGGTGATGATGTTACCTGTCTCTGATAGTGGGCTCCACAATACAACTGTAGCCTGGCTGCCTCTTTTGGTAGCCATGCAACCTAGTGAACATGAAGTACATATCTTTGTTTCCTCCTGCCTCTAGCCCCCAACTTCAATTCCACCCCTTAGTCCCCTGTTCAGCTAACTGGCTGCACTGTGAAGGCCCATGGTGTAAGGAGTTCTGCCCTTCCTTTTTGTAAGCCCCCATTTCAAATGTGATTCTCTCAGAGCCCCACTTAGCTCTGAGAGGAAGAGCCTCATCAATCTTGTCCTCCTACTAATTGGCTGCTTATATAGACATTAGGAAGAGTTGATGAGACAGCACAGGGATGGTTCTGTCACTTCTTAGTAAGCCCAGGAAAGGTGTCTAACCCCAAGTGTCAGTGGTTTCCTCTATAATGAAGAAGCACTTAACACTTCTTGACCTCAGCCTTAGGTTATGGTTGCCAGTTTCACAGTGATCAGAATAGTCTTACATAATATCCTGTTATGCATGGAGCTGCAGGTATGATCTGACCCACTGAAGATGACAGTTAAGTGTTGTAAGCTTTAACTGGTGCTTAGATTCTGTTACCATCCCCATCCTTACATCCATGCCTTTGAACTGTTCTAAAATAAAGATTCCAAACACATTGGGCAGAATTCCAAACTGAGCTAAGTGGTTTATGCCATGTCCCAGACATATCTAATCAAAGTAAACAGCAGACAGTCTCTGAATATTACATGATTTGATATTTTTCATGGAGCATGTAAATGGTGTATAGGCTGGAGAGAGGGTTTTGGTTTTCATTATGAATGTCTAGAGGACAAAGACAAAAATGGGAAAATAGCACAGTACCTCCCAATTCCAGTTTTCATGACAAGAGTATGTAGCATGAATCTTAAAAGTTCTTATTAACAAAACCAAACCCAAGGCCAGGTATTGGGGTGAATGCTGGAAGATCAGAGAAGCAGAACAAGCCACAGCTACCTCACTTTGCCAATTCCTTAGCTGATCCTGTATCCTCAGACTGGATGCCTCTCTGCTGAAATGTGCTGCTCAAAAGCCTAAAAGCTTAACCAGGCCCTAGTTCCTGGTCCTCACACCTTATATACCTTTATGCTTCCTGCCATCACTTCCTGGGATTAAAGGTATGAGTCACCATGCTTGGCTGTATACTTGAACATACAGAGATCCAGGCAGATCTCCACCTCTGGAATGCTAGGACTAAAGGCGTGTGCTACCACTGCCTAACCTCTATGTTCGATATTGTGACTGTTCTGTTCTCTGACCCCAGATAAGTTTATTAGAGTGCACAATATTTTGGGGTACACAATACCACCACATGAGTATGAGACAGAAAGTAAAGAGTCTGGGAGTCAGTGAACCCAAGTATCATTGCTGAAGCACACAGGTAACAATGTGTGACATTGAGAGGTGATGAGTAGAATTTTCTTATTTTTGTAAGGACTGGAAGGAGTCTCTGGCTACCCTGATAAAGGTAGCCTTGTGGGCACTAGGGACTTCCTCCTTGACAGGACAAAAGAACATTGACAATGACAATTAGTATAACATTGTTCCTGTTAGTAAATTACAGAAGAGATCTTATTTGATCTGTAAAACACATGTAATGTTGTGATGTAGAGCAAAAGATACCAGGCAGGAGGAAGGCAGCATCTGGGATTTCCTTTTTATGAAGTTAAAAACCATCTGATCTATATAAGGTCAGAATGACACTTACCCCTGGGCAAGACAGAGGGCACCTTGCTGGTCCATAGGGAAGATATATTCCTTATCACCAAATCTTGATGGAGTTTTATAACTATGTAAATCAAAACTATCAAAATTATACAATTAATATATAAGACTTCCATTAAAACTACAATTAAAGAAATATATTCACAATAAAAATGTTTTTGAGACAAGGTCCCACTATTTAGCCCTAGCTGGCCTGGAACTCACTATGTAGACCAGGCTAACCTCATACTCAAAGAAATCTACCTGTCTCTGCCTCTCAAGTGCTATGATTAAAGGTGTATCCCCACTATACCTGGACCATAAAAAAAATTAACAGCACAAGGAAATGACTGTGCCACAATACTGAGGAAAAAAATTATCAAAAAACCTAGAAGCTAGAGTGGTGTATGTGTGAGAACAGTTTGAAAGGGTTCATGGGAAAGGTTTAGGATTGAAATGTATTAAAAGGGGGGCTAGATTTTGAATTATGAGAATATGGCTACTTTTATTTTTGTTTTCCTCCACTTCTTCTTATAATTAGACATTTGTCTGAATGTGGTATATGCATGTGTATGTGGGTTCAGGCACCTGTGTATGAACATGTGGAGGCCAGAGCTCAATTTCAGGTGTCCTCAATCACCCTTCACCTTAATTCTTGAGACAAGATCTTTTACTGAACCAGAAGTTCACTAATTGGTTCGACTGGCTGGCTAGTGATCCCCTGGGATCCTCCTGTCTCTGTCCCTCAGGACTAGGATTAAAGGCAGCACTGCTACATTTGGCTTTAAAAAAAAAAAATCTGAGTACTGAGGATCCAAACTCAAGTCCTCATGCTTTCAGAGCAATCACTTTATCCACTGAACTGTCTCCCCAGCACTAGACACTTGTTTTTTCAAAAGATTCATTTACTGTTTCACAGCCCATCTTACACTGACAAGGATTTGAGATGAAGTTGCTGTGTTCTTGTGTTCATGTAGGTGGCCCCTTGAACTCAAAGGGAAAGATCAGCATCTCCCTATTTGCTGAGGATGCTCTGAATATGGGTTCAGGGATATTGTGGGCAATGAGAGCAAAGCAAGGAGAGGGAAACTGTTATAATGGCTAGTGATGGAGAAGTTACTGGTATCCCAGAAGAAGACTGGCTTGAGATACTCCACATGGCCATTGAATCTAGAGGGACAAACTAATCATAAGATCATTTCATATTGGAGTCTAAGTACAACATATATGAGAACAAAGTAATGCAAACTGAGATGGACAAAGCAGTAAGTGAAGCAGAGACCAAAATCCAAGTTGTAGCACAGTGTACTATTGTTGTAATGCCCAGAACAAAGTTTATTTATGAGTAAAGACTCCTCCATGGGTCCATAGGTCCTCATTTCCTTGTGCATCTTGAGACAAACTTCTACCCAGGAGCTGACTGGAACACATCTCTGGACCAGGTACTCAATAGAGAGAGGGTAATACCTTGCTCAGCTGGGCTTCTTGTTGCAAACTGTGATCTTGGCCCTGGCTCTGTTCTAAGGCACACTGCATGATCTCTGGTAGCATTAATTCTTTCATGCATCTTCTAGCACATCACTAACAGGAGAGACAATGGAATTTCAGAGATGAAGTAGCATGCCAAGTCTACACTGGAGGCCCTGTCTGAGTAACTTCTGAGCCTGTAGAGCTTCTCCACACTGCCCTCTGGGGGTGAGCTATAGCTCTCACATCTTCCACTACCCTATGAAACTATCTCAGCCCAAGCTAAGCCCTAGATCTACATGGAAACAATAAGACTCAGTAGTATTCACAAATGAAATTATAAAATTTGTCTAGCAGCACTGGAGAGGTCTACCTCAGAGAATGATAAAGAAATGAAGATTTTTAAATTGTCTTTTTTTTAAAAAGACCACTGAGTGAGTAACTAAGAGATTGCTGTTTATTGTGTGTGTAGTTTGTCTATATACTTGCTGTAGTGCCTCTTATTGCTACCACTCAGAAAATTAGTCCCCAGGAGACAATAATTGAAAAAAATAAAGCAGGTTTTATGGAGGATGCCAGTCACCTGGAAGGAAGAAAACTGATGTCTCAATTCCCCCCCTTCCAAGTTGTTTGGGGAAGTGGGAATATTTATGTGAGGACAAGATTAAAGGTTCTGTGTAGACTCAACATTCCCAGGAACCTGAGTTAGACAATCCTGTGCTAGCCAGAGATGTTAATCACCTGGTGATGGTCTATTCTTACCTTGAAGACAAGGTGCTCTGGAGTGTGGAGAGAAGGCCATATTTTGGGAATGAGGAATAAGAATAAAGAAAAATGAAGTTACTGAAGGCAACAGCCTGTTATAACAAACCATGAAGTGACTACTGTTATTCAGCCTAACACACACATGAGGCAGCTGATGTGAGTCAAGTGTGGCAGTCTGGATGCAGAAGCCTTGCTTGGGTCCATGTGCTAGGTTGCCTCATGAAGATTTAGGGACAAGTAATTTTGCTGTTTTAAGTTCCCTTGCCTTCCTATAGGTCGTAAGTCAAAGCTGCTGCTTCCACAGCTCAGCTGTGGAAGCCCAGAGGGGCTCTTGTGTGTCATTGGCAGCTCTTTGCTGTCGTTCCTTGATGTCTTTAAAAAGTCCACCCACCATCCAGCAGACCTGATATGGCCACATATAGCATTATCATATTATCCTGAATTTTATCATGCCCTTCTGTTCATTGTTGCATGAAAAATCCCCTATGGCTCCAGATAAATTATGTTCTTGAAGTGAGGCACTCCGTTGTAGCATGAGTCTTAAAAGTTCTTATTAATAAAATCAAACCTGAGGCCAGTTATTGGGGTCAGTGCTGGTAGATCAGAGAGACAGAACAAGCCACAGCTATCTCACCTAGCCAATTCCTCAGCTGGTCCTGTTTCCTCAGACTGGAAGCTTCTGTGTCCTCATTCCAATGGCTCTCAGCTGAACTGCTGCTAGAAGCCTGAATGCTTAACCAGCCAAAATGCTTCTAGTTCCTGGTCCTCATGCCTTATATATCTTTCTGCCTTCTACCACCACTCCCTAGGATTAAAGGCTCACTCCCTGGGATTAAAGGCGTGAATCACCATGCCTGGCTCTTTCCAATGTGGCCTTGAACTCACAGAGATCCCCGATGGATTTCTGCCTCTGGAATGCTAGGATTAAAGGTGTGTGCTACCACTGCTTAACTTCTATGCTTAATATTGTGGCTGCTCTGTCTCTGACCCCAGATAAGTTTATTAGCATTCACAATATTTGGGGGAATACAATACCACACTCTGTTACCTTCAAATTTGGCATAGAGTAGGTACTCATAAATGTCTACTTAAAATGCATAATTATGTGTCTCAGCAGCTGCTAGATTTAGGGGAGAACCAAGAAATATGTTTAGTTCCCAGGAAAATATGTGGTAAACCCTTTGATACTCTTTTGCCAGTTGCTTTAATTTGCACAGAAGAGTCATACCGAGCAGTAGGACAGAAGGGGAGGATGGGTAAAAGAAGGAACAAGGTTCTGTTCTGTAATGAACCTCCTATCTGATGTTAAATTGGCTGGATTTTACTTTAACCAAGAACAACTATGAGGAGAACAAACTATGTTCTTGCCCTTTTGGCTTTACCAGTGAGAAGCTGAGGTATTGTGTACATTATTTGTCACTTGAACAGTGACTCCCTTGATTCAAACGTGGGCTTTGAGTAATGGATACAAGTGTTCTTTTAGCTTTAATACTCTTTACTTCTTTCTAATTTCTAATGGACTGTGGAGTTGGATGAGCAGAGAACATAAGTAAAATAATGTGAGGAGGGAAGCTCCTCAATAAAATTTCAGACCAGAGCTACCTTCTATTTTCTGCTTTAAATGTAATTAAAAAAAAAAAAAAAGAAGAACTGATCCAACACTCCCACACATAAACTGAAACACTACGTAATACCCTTTCTCATAAGACTCCACCCCCTTTGAAAGAAATTGTGTTTCTTACTTTATACTGTCTATATGTTTGATTTGTACAACACTCACAGCCAGAGGAGCTGAGACATCCGTTTCCCCTACAAGAAACTCTGGTAAGTCACCTCTCAGCCCTTGGCAGGTCAGTTAGCTCAGCTTCTGTGATGAGTAAAAACTTCAACAGGAAATCCTGGGAGGACATCTGTCAGCACCAGGTGCTCACTGAATTATCTGAAAATACAATCTTTAAGATACAGAAAGGGCAAGAATTTAGGATATGTTTCAGCATGTGATGTCATCCAGTATATAAAACATAATTGCAAATGAAATATTTAAAAGAGACAGTTTGTGTTTTTAAAACAAGCAGAGTTTTTGCCTCTTAAAAAAGCTTCTAAAACAATGATATTGGCCGAAAACTGGTTTGATAATCATTATCTCCAGCTGAGAAGAGGTGAAATCTCTCCGTGGGTCACCTGGAACACATGTGTCAGAAGCTCTAAGTCTCTTGTGCTCTCTTTCTCTCCCTGTCCCATCTGTTTCCTAGAAAAGAGGGAAACCTAAAAATTGTCTAAGTTCATATTAAATTACAAATATCAAAGTTTCTAGAGCACACTTAGTAGAGGATTCTTGTTCTGGGTCAGCACTTGAAGGTGAGATTTTCTGGGTGCTTCTCTTAACTATCTAAGTGGGAGATATGAAGAGCTTTAGAGGTATAAGGATCAAGTAGAGAAAATTCACAAGGAAAGCAGTGGAACTTAGATAGGACAAGCCAGTTGGTTGTAGAGACTGAACACAGAACTATTTAGCCTGTAAGATATTCACCCATGGAGAAGGATGGAACATTTTCTACTTGACCATTTCTTCTGCTTGTATGAGAGCTCTTGATGGTGGCAACTTAGGGAGCAGAAATAACTTGAGAGAAAAGATGAAGATAGCCTACTTTAATAATTGATGGTAGATTCTATGACACTGTTAGAGTACTTGGACATCAGCCCATGTCATCTTAACTACAGAGAGGCAACATGTTACTTAGAAAAGCTTATTAGTTACCAAGAAGTGACAGACAACACGTCAGTTAAGGGTTCATGGTGCCCGAATTCAAAAACAGTTATTCCTGAGTGGTGTGGTTTTGTGTTAACTTATTCATTCTCTCTGTACTTGGGGCCTTTTTATCTAGAAAAAAATGTGAGCAATATTACCTGTCTCAAACAGTTACTTCAAGCATTTAATGAATGAGTAGGTAAGAAGCTTAGAACAGTGATTGGAACTCAGTGTTCATTCTTGCTGGCACTTGTGTGGCACCTATTATTTGTGGGTAAATGCCTATAAACAGCATCTTCATTAAAGTACTTAGCCTGTGAATTACATAGTGCCTGGCTCAGTTTCACAGATTAATTCACCTCACATTGATATGAAAAGCAAGATTTTATTTGATGAAAATGCATCTTTGGTGAATTTCAGGTCATACAATGAGGGGAAAATTAAATGTAGAAATCTATCCCTCATAGACCTACTAAATTATAAAACCATTTGTAATTGTGGTAGGCCAGTAACAGCTTTTAATTTTATTAAGCATTGTCTTTTTTTTTTATTCATAGGTTCTTATAGGATGGATTTGCAAGTGTCAAGTCCAACCTATCTCTATGATATTGATTATGGTATGTCAGCACCCTGCCAAAAAACCAATGTGAAACAAATTGCAGCCCAGCTTCTGCCCCCACTCTACTCTCTGGTATTCATCTTTGGTTTTGTGGGTAACATGTTGGTCATTCTCATCCTGATAAGTTGCAAAAAGCTGAAGAGCATGACTGACATCTACTTGTTCAACCTGGCCATCTCTGACCTGCTCTTCCTGCTTACTCTCCCAGTCTGGGCTCACTATGCTGCAAATGAGTGGGTCTTTGGAGATATAATGTGTAAATTATTCACAGGGCTCTATCACATTGGCTATTTTGGTGGAATCTTCTTCATTATCCTCCTGACGATTGATAGGTACTTGGCTATTGTCCATGCTGTGTTTGCTCTAAAAGCCAGGACAGTCACCTTTGGGGTGATGACAAGTGGAGTCACTTGGGTGGTGGCAGTGTTTGCCTCTCTCCCAGAAATAATCTTTATCAGATCTCAAAAAGAAGGTTTTCGTTATACATGTAGTCCTCATTTTCCACACACCCAATATCATTTCTGGAAGAGTTTCCAAACGTTAAAGATGGTCATCTTGAGCCTTGTTTTTCCCCTGCTTGTCATGGTCATCTGCTACTCAGGAATCCTCCACACCCTGTTTCGCTGTAGGAATGAGAAGAAGAGGCACAAGGCTGTGAGGCTCATCTTTGCCATCATGATTGTCTACTTTATCTTCTGGACTCCCTACAACATTGTCCTTCTCCTGATCACCTTCCAAGAGTTTTTTGGACTGAATAATTGCAGTGGTTCTAATAGACTAGACCAGGCCATGCAGGTGACAGAGACTCTTGGAATGACACACTGCTGCATCAACCCTGTCATTTATGCCTTTGTTGGGGAGAAATTCCGGAATTATCTCTCAGTGTTCTTCCAAAAACACATTGTCAAACGCTTTTGCAAGCACTGTCCAATCTTCCAGCAAGACAATCTTGATCGTATAAACTCAGTCTATACCCGGTCCACAGGGGAGCAGGAAGTTTCTACTGGTTTATGACATGGGCTGTTTTGTGTATCACTTGGTTTTTCTATGTAACTTGGAAGTCAGAATGTTTTTTTAAAAAAGAAGTTACTATCATCGAGGGCCTAAGATACATGCATGTTTTGGATATTTATTTTAGATAGATTGGGTCTTTTAAAGCTGATTGACTTTAGAAAGCCAAATGAGAATGTATTGATAAGATAACAATCCCTGGTCTCATTCCCACTTACCTCCAGTTATTGGCAAACTCTTCTTTAGCCACAAAAATTCACTACAAAAAAATCCCAAGAATTGGGAGTTTTTTGAGCTTGACTATCTGAACAGAAATAACAACATCAATCAAGAAGAATACCTTGTACAGTTTTTTCCCTTACAAGGCAAAATTCAGGCTATATATGTACTTAAAATAGGTCTTTGTCTTGCCCTGAGAAGAAGAGATGAGAATGTGATTAGTTAGGAGATAGATAACTAAGCTACATGAATTAGTTCTATAGACTTGTATGATCAGGTGAATTCTCTGTGACCTGGGAGGGCTGGAAACAAATCCCTTTATAAGAAGGGATTTGAACTGGATCATATATTAGCAAATGAGAGGGAAACCATTCTTTGGGTGGCACGACTGCACAAGCAAAGCAGAGGTATACTTGTGGCTAGCTGGAAAGGCCATGGAGAGAAATGTCAAGGCTGGATCAGAATGCACCATGTCAGCATTGCTCCTTCAAGTTATATGCAGGGTGGGAGCACCTGGATAGGTTTGTACAAAGCCTATTTCATGGCTAAGTGTACTGACAATGGTGAGCATTTAGGGAAAGTAGATCAGCAACAATAAGGTCAGAGTGCAATCAAGTTACCCGGGCTAGACAGGGGGGAAGTACCACTTCTGCATGTAGAGTGTAGAGTCAGCAGAACTTGGGGTAAATTCGAGGTGGAGGTGAACAAGAAGACCTAGGCTCAAACACATTGGAATAATTGTTGAAGAAACAACAAATACAAAAGAAGAGTACAGGAAAGAGTCTGGCTTAGGAGGGTAGTCTCATTTTACAACCTGTTGCCTCAGGCTAGCATTTTGTTCCTTCTCTCAGACACAAATCTTGCCATACCAGCTTTGAATCTTAAGGGGTAACCAGGGAGCTGTAAAACACCTGGCATATGAATCATGAACCTGAAATCTAGGAATAATATCGACTCCTTGTGGATTCTAGCTGAGGGTTGCTTATACAGTTTGAACCCAGAGCTTTACAACCTTGAGCAGAGGCCCTAAGATGTGAGGGAAGAACATCAATTTTCTCTATTTACCTAGCAATCATCAAATCAGAGAGATAATGCATCCTTTTAGAAACAAGTTGCTGTGAGCTTCAGAAGTCATGAAAGTGTAATTACCACCCTCTGTGTTCCAGGCTAAGTTTGAAGGCTTTAGTAACTCTTTACAGATGACTTCTTCACACAAACAATGCTATTTTTAGCCACTGCAGAGAGATTTAGGATTTTTTGTTGTTTTTGCAGTTGCTATTTATGATATTGTTTTGAATTTTGGAGCGGTTAAGACTAAGGGAAGAAACAAAAGGGTGAGAATCACTCAGAGGATTAAAGTGTCTGGTTAACAAAAGGTGCTACTTGTTTTTCTTGAGCTCTGAATGTGAAACCAGAGCCTTGTGGCTGTCAGCAAGGAGGTGAGCATTTGCTTTTTTCTTTCCTGGAATCCACATTTTGTCCCCCAATATGTAGCTGAGACTAGACTCAAACTCGTGCGTGATCCTCCTTCCTACATCTCAAGCACTGGGATTACAGGTGTATATGAACACACTCAGCTCTGTATTTCTATATTCTTAAGCATATAGAAAGTTGTAAATTCTTTGAAGATATGTCTTATAAAAAGTGCTTTGTAAAAAATAATTTCTTTATTGTTCTTTCAATCAAGTGTACATTCAGTGAGTAGTACACAAAACTATGAGAGTATTTTATAAGTAGTTGTTTTGGAGAACATCCCCAAATAGTACTTATTTAAATATAGTCCTTAGCTTAAATGTATGGTGATGGTGATTATATTTCCTTTAAAATATTTTTAACAGTTAACTTTCTTCCTGAGACAAATTGTTGTAACAATTTGTTGTTAAAGGTGTTACTTCTAAGCATGTAGTTCCTAAGCAGAGTTGCCTTGAAAGATTGTAAATTTCAAATTGTGCTTACCCTCAACCAAAAGAGTTTTAATATACTTACAAATTGATGTCAGAAGTCATGAATCTGCTTGAAAATAAAGACATGCAACTTTGTGGTCTGGTATCTGAGTGGGAGGCACATGGTAGAGAGGATCAGCATTGCTTTTATTTTATTTAAAATTCTTTCCCAAAGTGTGTTAGTAATTTTAGTAACGGCAACTATGTAACACTGGGATTTCTGTCCTCATATTTCTTGTTCAGAGAGAGGATAGATGCTCCAGGGAGTGTTTGGAACATACTGGTTTTCAGTCTGCTACAGCGTCAGTTTCCAAAGCAGGATGTGTGAAGATGTTGGAGCTGGTCATGCTCTTAATGGAAAGTACACAAGATGAGTAGTAAGCAAGACAGGGCTCTGGCTAGTACAGTAACTTCTTACCAGATTCAAAGGATTGCTTCTCATACCTTAGATCCAAAGGTGGAATGTATCAAAGAAGAGTGGGAAGCAGCTAGGGTTAGAGGAGAGAAAAGAATCAGGGGGAAGTGATCCCTATCTGCTATGATAAAGCCAGCTATTGTGTGGATATGAGAAAGTATGGTAGTAACTTTGCTTGTTGCTGTGACAAAATATCTGAGGAAGGCATCTTAAAGAAGGAAGGGTTTACTTGTGTTGGTAGTTTGAAAGAATGCAGCCTATCATAGTTTGTGAGGAATGTGAGGTTGTTGGTCACATTATATCTGCATCAGGAAGCAGAGAACTGAATGCTGATTTAAGCTTCCTTTACCTTTTTCATTCAGTTGAAGTCCCCAACCTATGGAATGGTGTTGTCCACATTAAGGTTGGTTTTCCCTTCTCAGTTAATCCTTTCTAGAAACACCCTCATAGATACAGCCAGAAATGTGTTTTCTAGGTAATTCCAGTAAAATACCAACCAACACAAAAAGTGTCAGTTTTTTATGGCTGATGTATACAGTCCTTACCTTTCCATATGTTGGATGAATTCATGAAGAAAAGTTGCTTGAGGTGTCATATAACTATGTATATATATTTTTCACAATTTTATAAATATTTTAACATTTCATTTGGCTCCATATTGTTACTACTTCATTGAATTATAAGTTCTGGGTTATTATAATTCTGTCATGTTTCAGGAGCTTATTTTTGTTATCATAAAAATAGTTTTTTCATTTGTTTGTTTTGTGAGACAGGGGTTCTTTGGGTAGCCCTGTCTTGTAACTCACTCACTGCCTCTGCCTCCTGTGTGCTGGGATTAAAGAAGTGTGCCACCACCTCAAAAATAGTTTTTAAAGCATATGTGGAGGATATGAATCTTTTCCCTGATTGAGTCAATGGGAAGGCTATCCAAACTGCAAATAACCTGGGTTATACTGCTTCCATACTGCCCACCAGTGGCCAACTAGCAAATTAGCAAGGATGCTTGGCAATCAGCATTGACCACAGCATACAAACAAGGAGCATGGTTTCACTTGGTCGTTTACTGTTTGTGTCTTTCATTCCACTGTGGACAGAGGCATATCCAGATCAGCTCAGGGCAGATGACACACAGCTCTTTCTCACTGCTTCTGAAGAACAGGAAGAGCATCAGTTTAGGACATAAGTTGACACTGAATAAAATAAATGTTTCAGGTGGATCTGCAGAATGCTGGAGCCCAGACCTAGAATAAAGTCAGGAAATTATTTCTAACTAGGCATTTTTTCACATATGTGAAATGCTACAAACTCCTCCTGCATTTCATTTTAATCTGCATATCCCATGTGTTTGAAGTGATCAAATATAGTTGAGATGCAGGTGGTTTTCTTTGATACTTATCCTCTCTTTTCTCCATTACTGTTATCATCCATTTGGATGCAACACTCTTACAAAACTATATACCTTGAAAATGAGAGAGAAAATGGAAAAGCCATTGAGTACCATTCAGTCTAGGTGCCTCCCTGTGTGGGTGAAGAGCAGAGTTTACTACAAGCCCCAGAGAAGGCTTCAGAGGACCCAAGCATCAACTATGCTATGATAGTGTTTCCCAGTCTCAGTGGGCAGTCAGTGATAAGTCATTGAGTGGAGTAGGTGGGAGGGTTTCTGGTACCCCTTACAATCATGCCTGGATAAATTCAGGAGCTGGACCTACAATTCATGGAGGCCATATTCTGGTCCTGGCTTAATCTTAGCTGTACTTTGAAGTGACATGGGGGAGTTTTACAAATAGTGACCCTGAGTCCCACTCTAATCAATTCTACTCCAATCAATTTTGCTTCAATCAACCCATAATGTGGCTTGTGGTTTTAACTCCTACAAACTCCCCAGATGCTTCTCAGAATAGCTAAGTTTGAGAGACACTGGGAGTGAAAACTGGGGTTGAAGCCTGTCATACTGGGTATGATGGCTGGAGGCTGAGCCTGTGACACAGAGTGTGAAGGTTGGGGTATGAAGAAAATCATACTTGACCTGCAAATAGGTGCCATGTGGATCAGGGAGTCTAGATTCAGATTCTTGATTTTCACCACTAAACATCACTCCATCTTCCTCAAAGCTGCTTTATAAAGCATATGAATCTCGACTCAGTGATGATACAAAACACCTGAATTTGAGGCTCTCAGTTTGCAGTTTAATTTCTGGTTCTGAGGTTCCTGTCCTTTCCAAGTGAAAAACAAATAAAAGTCAGATGACGTCTGGGACCCATGCTGAGCCTAGAGACTTCAAATTTAAAAGAGAAAACAAGTCTCTTGTGTAGAAAAGGGTATACTAGGGATGTTTTACAGACAAACATTGATTTTGCTTATGTTGGCCAAAGTGTTCTCCTCTTATCTCTAGTGTTTGTTGCTCTTGTGAGCTCCCTTTAAACTCTGCCTAGTAAAGTACTGTTTCTGAAGAATTGAGAATCCGAGTAGTTCATTGCAGCCCTAGTCAGGCAATGTTAATTCTGTAATGAGTGAAAATTTAGCATTAAGATAGCAACTCTTAGATGGTCTGGCATTTAGTTTAAATGTATGCACACATATACATAAAACAAAACTTGGCTTGTATTAGTTACTTTTGTGTCACTGTGACAATACTACTCAATTAAAACAACTGAAGGGAGGAAAAGTTTACTTTGGCTCATTTTTTTTGGTTCATTTAGAGAAGAATAGTTCATCTGTCCTATTGGAATATATGGGCATGTACAGCAGAGACTGTTTACATTACAGCAGTCCAGGAAGCAGTGGACAGAACCAGGGTGCAGGCTATAACTTTCAAAGGACCATCCCTAGTGACCTTCTTCTGCTAGCCAGACCTCACCTCCTAAAGATTCTATAGTCTCATATAGTACCACCATCTTGGAACTACACACAGCACATGAGCCTATGAGGGATATTTCTGAAAAGCAGATATAAGTTGCTCTTCTTGTGAAACTATATAACTCTGAACATAATGCAACTAAGTCTAAAAATAAAAATATAGTGGAAATATAGACTTCAGTATAGTCTGTATTTACTCCAAAATTCTTCTACTTATATTTATTTCCATTATCTTAGATTACTCAAAAATATCCTATAAAGAAGTTATGTTTTCTCAATATATAATCAAATCATGACTGTTGATTGGTCAACTCAGTCTTTCCTTCATGATAAAGATCAAACTCTGGGGGTCAGAAGAGTAATAACTTAAAAGTCATATTGACCTGACTATCATCTTGAGGCAGTGGGAGTTTAGGAAGGGAACTTGGTAATTTGAATTACTACTGATATTAACTGACAGGGCTATTTTGGATAGAAAATGTCTAGACCAGTCTGTCCAATAGAATTTCCCTAATGTCATGCTCTTGGTCTTTATCTTCTAAAATGATAAGATATCACACAAGTGCAGAATGTGGCTATTGTGGGTTTTAAATTTTACTTAATTTTAATGTGGCCAGGGTTATTATATTGAACATTTCAAGTCTAGTGTATGGTGATATTTTATTTGTATTAAAATATTATTTGTATGTTAATAAATAAAGTTGCCCGGGGGTCAGAGCTATTAGCAAGCCATAGGAAAGCAGGGCAGTGGTAGCGTACGCTTGTAATTCCAGCACTTGGTAGGCAGAGCTGGGTAAGTCTCTGTGTGTTCAGGGATACAGCCATTATTGGATACACATGCCTTTAATCTTAATACCAATCATGGAAAACCTGGAGGCCTATACAGACAGGCTGTGAGGAGGTGGTCATGTGGTTGGGTTTACAACCAATGAGAAGGCAGGACAGGAACTCTATATAAAGACTTTAACACAGGGGTAGCTCTGGTTCGGAGAGGTAGGACCACCGCAGGAGGAAGGGTAAGGTTTTAGCTCTTAGCTCTGACCTCTTGGCTTTCTTCTTTGCATTGGTTCTGTGTTTATTATTTAATAAGAAGGTTGAATACATCTACAAATGGCGTCCAACGTGGTGGCAAGAGTTTCCACCTAAAACCTGAGAAAAAAGATTCTAAAACGGAGCTAAAAATAGTTCCTAATTGTCTCTCTCAAATGAGTGGCAGCTGCCTGTTTGAGCTACTGGTGGGTTCCTAGAGTGTGTGCTCGACCTGTAGTATGGCGGGAATGAGGCCTCTGCAAGTGGCACATTAAGCTGCATGGTGGATTTAGACGTTGCTAGTACAAAACAAAAAAAAAGAGGTTTCTGGACTACACGCTGCTTGGCTAAAAGCATAGACCCATGATAGCTCCCAGAGCTGGTGGAAAAGGTAACACCGCCATGTTGGGAAGCTGAGGTGGGTGGAGCCAGCAGCCACAGCTGCTGCAGTTTAAGGCAATAGATTCACAATAAGACAGATTCAGATGTAATAGTTTACAATGTGTATAAAAGATACGTAGGCTTGAAAGAAACAAAAAAGATGATATATAGAGTTATAGAAACAAATATATAGTTTTAAAAAATAAAGTCTTTAAAGAGACAGTAAAGGTAGTATAAAAAATAAGCCACGTAAAAATGGATATTACACAGAGAATCTGCATTGTGTTGTCTTTGGGACTTTTAACTGCAGAAAAACATTTGATTGTAAAAGCTGTTGAGTTATGCCAAAATGTATATTTTAAAGGTACCTTGACTTCAAAATTTGAATATAAGGATATGTTGCTTTGGAAAGGAGACTCTGCTTTTGTTCCCACAGAAAGCCAGAGGCTATGGATTTGTTCCAGATTAAGATACATCAGGTTTGACCAGCCAAGACCCCCTGAAAGGTCTCTGATGACACCATGGCCCAGATGATCCAACATCCAGAATGTTTTCAAGGCAACTGGCTCAGACGATACAGCCTCATGGACTATTCCATAATCCTAAAATTTTCTTTGTTTCCCCATAAGATACAGCGCCCCCCTCCAGCAGGAAGTAGTAAGAGAAGCTACGCCCAAATTCCCAAATTATATGTAATTTTACTTTGTTAAGGTTAAAACCTTCCTTTTTGAAAAAAAAAAATGGGGGGGGAGAAAGTGCTGTGGGATGTTCTGTATGGCAAATGTGTTGCTAATTAGTCAATAAATAAAACACTGATTGGCCATTGGCTAGGCAGGAAGTGTAGGCGGGACAAGGAGGAGAATAAAGCTGGGAAGTGGAAGGCTGAGTCAGAGAGACACTGCCAGCCGCCACGATGAGAAACAGCATGTGAAGATTCCGGTAAGCCATGAGCCATGTGGCAAGGTATAGATTTATGGAAATGGATTAATTTAAGCTGTAAGAACAGTTAGCAAGAAGCCTGCCACGGCCATACAGTTTGAAACCAATATAAGTCTCTGTGTTTACTTGGTCGGGTCTGAGGGGCTGTGGGACTGGCAGGTGATAGAGATTTGTCCTGACTGTGGGCCAGGCAGGAAAACTCTACCTATACTAGTGTGCATATAAATATCAGTTTGACTTGGATTTTGGCGTCAGGGTTGTGGTGATATATTGTGTCACCAATATATTGTGTACTCTAATAAAGCTTATTTGAGCATCAGAGGAAAAAGCCAGCCACTATATTAAATATAGAAGTCAGGCAATGGTAGCACACATCTTTAATCCTAGCATTCTGGAGGCAGAGATCCATCCAGATCTCTGTGATTTCAAGAGAACTGGAGAACAGAGCCAGGTGTGGTGACACATACCTTTAATCCCAGAACTAACCATAGAGGTCTGGAAGTCTGTACAGGCAGACAGGAAGTGATGTAGCTGGGCAGAGAGAGGAAGTGAGATGCAGAACAAAAAGGCATATAGGCTTGGGTATACAGGAAGTAGGTCTCTTTGGCTGAGGATTTCCAAGTGGTAAGAACATGGCTGGCTTCTTTCTGCTTTTCTGATCTCCCAGTTTTTACCCCAATATCTGGCTCCAGGTTTTTTATTAATAAGACCATTTAGCAATTCGTCTTACACAGGGTATTGAGTTATTATGCAAAATTTACTATTTTAAGCCTCAGTTTTCTTCTGTATAATTGAGTATAATAATACCTGCCTCATAGTTTTGATTAGAGGATAAATAGCATATTGCATGGTAAGACCTTAGCATGGCATTACCTAGCTCACAGACATTCTTGTAGATATTTGCTATTATAAAAACTAAGGATGTTGTGGTGGTATTATGTTCCCCAAAATATTGTGCACCCTAATAAACTTATCTGGGGTCATAGACAGAACAACTACAATGTTAAACATAGAAGATAGGCAGTGGTAGCACACGCCTTTAATCCTAGCATTCCAGAGGCAGAAATCCATCTGTTCAAGGATACAGCCAAGCATGGTGACTCACACCTTTAATCCCAAGAAGTGAACCTTTAATCCCAGGGAGTGATGGTAGAAGGCAGAAAGATATATAAGGCATGAGGACCAGAAACTAGAAGCATTTGGCCTGGTCAAGCATTTGGCTGGTTAAGCTTTCAGGCTTCTAGCAGCAGTTCAGCTGAGATTCATTCTGGATGAGAATTCAGAGGCTTCCAGTCTGAGGAAACAGGACCAGACGAGGAACTGGTGAGGTGAGGTGGCTGTGGCTTGTTCTGCTTCTCTGATCTTCCAGAATTCACCCCAATAACTGGCCTCAGGTTTGATCTTATTAATAAGAACTTTATTGATCTTATTAATAAGAACTGCTACAGGATGTCTAGTTCCTCTTTATCTTGGAGCACTCTTACAGTACTCTTACCTATGTCTAGAAATTCAAATCAAATTCTGTCATGAGACAGAAGTTCCAGAAAGCTGAATTCTACGTGAGGGTTTCTTGCCTGTGACGTCAATACCATTTTGTATTAGCCAATCAATACCATACTACAGAGATCAGTGTAATGTCCTGGAAAATTTATCACTGTCTTCCATATATTTCATATATTGCTACTTCTGAATCATTTTTTGGTGAGCTAGCAGGACATTAATAATTCTGGTCAGATGTATACTGTGGGATGTTTCGTATGCTGTGAATATGTGTTGCTCTGATTGGTTGATAAATAAAACGCTGATTGGTCAGTAGCCAGGCAGGAAGTATAGGCAGGATAAGCAGACAAGACCTGCAAGCCACAGGAAAACATAATGGAATTCAGCTACTATCACAAAAGCTACTGCTTGGAAAAGTCAAGGACTTCTCCAAAGGTCAAGCCATGGCTTAAGAAGTCTCTTGGTGATATTTTAGCTTTTGTATATATATTAGCTGGTTCCTACAGTGATTTTCTTGTAATGCTATGCGTGCTTCCACAAACTCTTTACAGTGTATTTATGTAAAATACCTATCAAGCATCCAAGGCCAAACGAAACAACACCTGTCTCCTAGGTCAGGCAGATAGCTTTATTTCTTGTGCAATCTGAGACCCTCCTTTTCTATCACTAACATTATAGACTCCTAACTTCTTACCTAACTGAGCACATAGATCCCCTTCTTGATATACTAACCAATCATTAGCTCTCAATTGGTCTCCTCCCTTAACCACTCCATTTTCAGGTTGTAAAAGAAAGCCTGATGGTCACTGCCTGAGGAAAATCCTTACCTGTATGACCCTGTAATAATTCAAACCTGGTGATCTGGCTGGAGGTGGAGGATTGCTATTGCTTGAGTATATAACTGGATACCCTAGAGAACTAGGGGAGGTAAAGAACTGAGGGGTATAAGGAGATTCAGAGGAGGAATTTGAGGGATAAAACTTGAGGATGAGACAGAGAAGATAAATGAGAATGGAAGAACTAGATGGGTAAGAACTGGAGAGGAACAAACTAGATGGGGAAGAACTATATTGAGGGCTAGAAGAGAGTACTAGAAGAATGAGATGAAGATGAGGAAGAGCCAGATGGAGAAGAACAAGATGAGGAAGAACAAGATGAGAAAGAAGGAGATAGGAGAGGAGCTGAGATGGGAAGGAACTAGATGGATGAGAACCTAGATGGGGCAGAACTAATATGAGAGAATTAAAATAGAACTTAGAGAGGACAGCAGATACATGTAGAAAGAAATCAGGCAAGAAAGGAGCTAGGCATGAGAGCAGAATAGAAGCTATGCAGAGAGAGAACTGACACAGAATAATAAAGTGTATGGACTAGGGAGTTTCGTGTACATAGATTCATTTCCTGTCATCAAAGATTAATTATCAGCTTGTTGTAGATTCTTCCCGGGCCCTGGGAGGGGACCATTGAGGGACTGGACCCCAATAGTCCTTGATAGACAAGGAGAATTCTGGGGAAAGGAAAGCTGAGTCAGGAGACACCAGCCTGACATTCAGGGAGCAGCATATAATGGCACATAGGTAAAGCCACAGAACATGTGGCAACATATAGATTAACATAAATGGGCTGAGTTTAAATGTAAGAGCTGGTCAGTAGTTAGCCTGAGCTAATGGCTGAGCAGTTTTAATTAATATAAGCCTCCATGTATTTACTTGGGTCTGAGCGGCTGCAGACCAGGCAGGGCACAGGAAAACTTGCAGCTACAGATGTAGACTCTATAACTCAGGGAAAACTAGGAAAGCAAATGTAGTTTTAAACCTCCACTATGGATTTCAATATAATATGACAAACTAAGAGAAACACATAAGAATTAACTTATCAAGAACTAAAGGAGCAATACACAATGAAAAGCCCCAACAAGGCCACATGGGAAAATATTTACTTAGGCACAGAAAGGAAATTGTTCTTATATTACCCTCTCCTTTCATCTACATCTAGAGTTTCACTCTCAGATGTGCCTGTGAGAAGAGAATTAATTAGTCAACCCTAAGTCTGCCCTCCCCCCATGGAAGATAAGGAGTATCATGGCTAGGATAGGGATGCTTTCTTCAGTTCTCCTTCAAGAGGATGAGAGAACTTGGGCAGAACTTTCACCCTTCTTGAAGCAGATGCAGAAACATTGAGAGAAGGTAATATGTAATGGGTGTACTAACCATCCATAGCAACATTCAGTATCCTTGTAATCATTCAATAGATATTTATGGAGGCCTGCTGTATTCAAGATGTTAACCTATGCCACAAAATAGCTTCTAACTTTATGAGATTCACTATTTAGGGAAAAAATGTACTAATATAGATAAAGTCACATTAGTTTCTAAGAATCACTGTGAATGACACAGAAACAGACTCCAAGAGCAAAAGGAAGGTGGCCTACACAGACCAAGAACAGAAACCTAGAGAAAGGAGTTCTGGGGGAAGCCCTGTTGCAGCCAAGTAAGAGTTGGCTCACAGTTAAATGGAAGAGTAGAAATTCTCTGCAAATGTGCAGAGGTAAAATAGAGCAAGGTGTGGTCCACTTACCTAAAGTGGCACAGAAATTAGATGAATTGATAGATGCATTACAGATATATAAATACACAGACAAACAGAGACAAACAAGGATGGATGGATGGATGAATGGGTGGATGGGTACATGGACAGATAGACACTTTATGGATATAGAAATGGGAAGGGAGGGAGAAGTAAGGGGTGGAGATGGAAAGGAGGAAGAGAAAAAAATGAAAGGAAGGGTGATATGAGGAGAGAATAGGATAGGAGAGAAAAGAATAGCCTTTCAAGGGGCATTGCAGTTTACACAAGCCACAGAAGCTGCCTTCCGATCACAAATTTTAAGTCTGTGCCATCTAAAATGGATCAATTATAGCCTAACTACTAGAAATAATGAACATAACTGGACCCTACAGAGGCAGTCAAAAGGCACATCTCTGAAGAAAAGATCTGTGGCCACCAGGGTAGATGTCCCACACAGAACTGACCTGAGTCTGGTGTTTCTAAGTCCAGATTCCCAGGTATTCACTCTGTGCTCTGACCATCTTTACCAACCTTCAAGTCTCTCCTTTTTAGCCAAGTAAGCCCAAACTCGTCTCACTAACTTGAGTGCTTTAACTAGCACCTGGATAAAAGTGTCCATTTCTTGCACATTTTCATCATGAATTACTTCTCCCATCCAGTTTTCAGCAGCTCTTCTCCCCTGAGATTCTCTCAATAGAATGAACAGATTTCATATTCAAGTGAACAATTACTTGTTTATTAGTACTGTTCATGACAAGATGTTTATCTATAGTTCGTAAACTTGCTTTCTTATGGGACCTATGTTACTTGCAAAAGAATATTATCCTCCTCCTTCAAAGTAACTGCCATACTTCAAAGGGTCAAATAGTACTCTTTTTATATTAAATTCCTTCTATTAAGGAATAAATAAAAGATTACAATGGAAAGCATCATTAATTCAGAGGATTCACATTTAAAATTATTTATTCTTTAACAAAGATTTATTGAGAAGCTACTATTCTGGTACAAGGACTATAATAGACACAGGTTATCTTGGAATGATGTAAAAGTCTAAATAAAGGAGCTAGAGAGGTAAACCCAGTCACAATGCA